TTTCACGCAAATTCTTCTGCTAGTTGGGGTTTAGTCCAAATCTGCATCCTTTCCTTCAAGGCTCAGGGGTCCAAGATTATCTTCTGTGTCTGTATTTATTGGTTTCCCTTTTCTTTGTTGAAGAGGGTCTGTGCAATCCTTCTGCCTAGTCCGCCATCTTGCCCCGCCTCTTCCTGCTGCAACCATTTTTGAATTATCTTCAGTAAGATTTTACTTGTGTGTGATATCAATGATATTGTTCAATAATATCTGCATTCTGTGGGATTACCTTTCTTTGGAATGGGTACAAATATGGATCTCTTCCAGTCAGTTGGGCAGGTAGCTATCTTCCAAATTTCTTGGTATAAATGAATGAGCCTCTCCAGCATTGCATCTGGTTGTTGAAACATCTCAGTGGGTACTCTGTCAATTCCCGGAGACTTGTTTTTTGCCAATTTCTTCAGTGCAACTTTGACTTCTTCCTTCAATACCATTGATTCTTGATCATATTCCATCTCTTGAAATGAATGAACATCGACCAGTTCTTTTTGATACAGTGACTCTGTGTATTCCTTCCATCTTCTTTTGATGCATTATTAAATATTTTGCCCATAGAATCTTTCAATATTACAACCTGAGGCTTGATTTTTCCTTCAGTTCTTTCAGCTTGAGAAATGCCAAGCATGTTCTTCCCCTTTGGTTTTCTAACTCCAGATCTTTGCACATTTCATTATAATAATTGATTTTGTCTTCTCAAGCTGCCCTTTGAAATCTTCTGTTCAGCTCTTTTGTCTTGTCATTTCTTCCATTTGCTTTAGCTATTCTTCATTCAAGAACAAGTTTCAGAGTCTCTTCTCACATCCATTTTGGTCTTTTCTTCCTTTCCTGTCTTTTTAATGACCTCTTGCTTTCTTCATGTAGATGTTCTTGATTTCATCCCAACAATTTCTCTGATTTTCGGTCATTTGTGTTCATTGCATTAAACCTGTTCTTTAGATGCTCTCTAAAGACAGGTGGGATATAATCAAGGTCATATTTTGGTCCTCATGGACTTCTTTTAATTGTCTTCATCTTCAACTTGAACTTGCACATGAGAAACTGATGGTATTTTCTAGAATCAGCTCCTGGCCTTTTTTGGCTGAAGATATTGAGCTTCTCCATCACCTCATTACACAGATGTAGTTGATCTAATTCCTGGATACTCCATCTAATGAAGTCCACATGTATATCCACTGTTCATGGAGTTGAAAAAAGGAATTTTCAATGAATAAGTTATTGGCCTTGCAAAATTCTATCATGCGATCTATAGCATTATTTCTATCACCAAAGCCATATTTTCCAAGTGCCAGTGATTTTTCTTTGTTTCTAACTTTTGCATTCATTACCAGTGATAATTAACACATCTTGGTTACATATTTGGTTCTTTACAGACTGCAGAAATTGGTAAAAATCTTCAATTTCCTTTGGTGGTTGGTGTGTAAATTGAATCATATAGTATTAACTGGTCTTCCTTGTAGGTGTATGTATATTATCCTATCACTGACAACATTGTACTTCAGGATAGATCTTGAAACATTCTTTGTGACGATGAATGCTAGGGCATTCTTCTTCAGTTTTTTATTCTTGGCATAGTAGATCATATGGTTGTCTGATTCTAAATGGCCCAAACCAGTCTACTTCAGGTCACTAATGCCTAGGATATCAATCTTTATACATTTTTGACAACTTCCAATTTTCCTAGAGTCATGCTTTGTACATTCTCTATTCCGATTATTAATGGATGTCTGCATCTGTTTCTTCCCATTTTGAGTCATGCCACATCAGCATATGGAGGTCCCAAAAGCTTTACTCTATCCACATCAATAAGATCTACTCTACTTTGAAGAGTCAGCTCTTCCCTAGTCGTATTTTGAGTGCTTTCCAACATGGCTCATCTTCTAGCTCTATATTGGACAATGATTTAGGGCTATTCATAAAGTTTTCCAGTAATATATCAAGTAGTGTTTCATTGCTGTTCATAAGGTTTTCACTGGCCAATTCTTCTTCCAATCTGTCTTAGTCTGGAAGCTCCACTTAAACCTGTCCACCATGGGTGACCCTGCTGGAATCTGAAATACCAGTGGCATAGCCCCCAGCCTCATAGCAACACACAGGCCACCACAGTGACAAACTGACAGACAAATGGTGGTCACTGTGTTATAGAACAGCAAAACCTCAGAATATCCCCCAAAGATCCAACTTTACCAACACTAAATTTAGAACTTTCACACCAGGCCATTCCAATTCCAGAAGGTTCTTCCTTGGCATGAAACAAAATCTTATTTGTTATGGTGGTCTCTTGTTCATATTGGCATTTCCACTCTGCACGCATGATCAATGTGAGTTGGCAACTAACAAAAATAGGTTAGGTTGCAGTATGCAGTCATTTAATCAAACGTTACTCAGGGGTTGCCAGTAAGGTATTTTGTGGCTGTGGTTAACATCTACAATTAGTAACTTTGAGATAGAGCATCCTGAAATGTAAATATCTGGTGTACTTCACTTGACTAAAGGATGAGTATTTCTGGGTCTGAACTTAAACTGAAGAAAGGTGAGTGACCTCTATAATTGAACTCCACTTCTTTCCAGTGAGGGTTTTGTTTTTTGTTTTTGAGATATATTGTTGGCTTTTCTTTGTGTTTACTCTTTTGTCCTTTCCTTATTCAGTTCAATCTTTGAACATTTTCATGGGATCCAATTTGTAGGGTGATATAGCAGCTCCTGTTTTGTGAGGTTTCTTGCTCTTTTCTTTCAAGTACACATTTAAGGACCCCTAAGGGAATATTTTATTCATTGACAGCCTGCGATAGGCAGATGACACAACCATGCTCAGTATTAAGTCATTTTCTTCCATTTTGTGATCTGATTTAATTATCCTATGTGTTGTAAATCTTAACGTTTATGATGGTAATGAGGCAGGAGAGTGGCAATTATATTAATAAGACAGAATACAATCTACAGAATTAGGTTGTATATTGAGTTAATGTCTTTTGAGATGTTAAAGAGATTAAACATATTAACAGAGACAAAGGGGACCTCTGTACCACCAAGAAAGGAGAGGAATGGAAGAAGTCCTTTGGACCCAGGGTCTCTGCTCTGTGAACCTCCCATATTGTTGTTGTTGTTGTTATGTGCCGTTGAGTCAGAGTTGACTCATAGCAACCCCTCCTTGGGTTTCCAAGCAGTATCACTACAGAGTAGATTGCCCCATCTTCCTTCCAAGGAGTGGCTGGTGGGTTTGAACCGCCAGCCTTCTGGTTAGCAGTCACATGCCTTAGGCACTACCTCCCATAGGAAGATTAATGTCAAAACACATGGAGATGTCCAAGGGATACCAAGCCCACATATGTTGAAAGGAGACAAAGACCTTCCCCGGAGCTAACAGGAAGAGAAAGCCTTCCCCAAGAGCTGACCTCCTGAATTTGGATGTCTAGGCCCCTAAACTGTGACAGAATAAATATCTGTTGAGTAAAGCCATCCACTTGTAGTATTTCTGCTATAGCAGCATTAGATAAGTAACACACAGAGGGACCAGTCTCTGGAGAAAGATATCATGCTTGGTAAAGTGGAAGATCAGTGAAAAAGGGGAAAAAACTTCAAAAAGATTGACACATTGACTGCAACAATTGGCTCAAGGATAGCAAAGATTGTAAGGAAAGCACAGGAGCAGGTATTGTTTTGTTCTGTTGTGCATAGGGTCACTATGAGTGGAAAGTGACTCAACAGCAGGTAACAGCAACAAAAAGTCACTTGTGATTGTGTGATGATTACCTTTCTTTTCAGAGACCACAAATTATGTAGGGTCACTGTCTGACGTTTTTGTATACATCTCTTTGTATTGGGAATGTTTGTTGACTGATCACATATATTAATTTACTGATATATACATATATGTGAGTGTGTGATGTATATATGTGCATCAGAGGCAAAGTATGTTTCATAAAAACTTTGGAAGTAAATGATTATTTTTTTTCTAATTTTAACACTAA